ATTGATTATATTTAAAAATCGATTATAATAAAAATATTTTACATTAATATTGGTAAAAGGGTAGTTTATAAGAGTTGAAAATGGCAAAAGTAAAATATTCTTTCATAAACAATATAAGGGAATTTTTATTTTAAATTATTGCACAATTATAGCATTCCAAGATTTAAAATGTATTTTTTTATCATATTTTTAGCACAGGGGTGATTTATAAGGGTTGAAAAGTGTTATGAGATACAAATTCTTTCATAAGCAATGAGGGAATTTTTATTTTAAATAATTGCACCGTTAAAGCATTCCAAGCTTTTAAAAAGTAATTTTTTATCATTTTTGTCAATATAGGGGTGATTTTTAAGGGTTGAAAGGGAACAATTCTTTTACTAGCTATAAACTAACTTTTATTTTAAATAATTGAACGATTTAATCATTCCAAAACTTTAAGAAGTAATTTTTTATCATTATTTTTTGCATAGGGGTAGTTTTTAAAGGTTAAATAAAGGGTCGAAAAGATCAAATAGGTATATCATAAAATATGTTCGAGAACATGGAACATTATTTAATCTTGGTGCTTGAACAAGATTGTTATCAATAAAATGCTTAAAACTTAATTTTTTCAATTTTTTTCACTTATGGGTAGTTTTTACCCCTAAAATACAAAAAGCGTAAATCGTCACTTTTGAACTTGAGCCTAAGATGAGCCTTATTCTAAATTTTCATGCAAATCCATGCAGTTTCAAAGAATTCGGAGGCTGATTTTCAGCTTTAATGACTGTACTATCTGGTCTTTCTATTAGGTAGCTACCGTTGGACAACAATGAAAAATACGTCGTGCTGGAGCAGAATTACAGTAAGCTTCCTGCATTTTAAAGAGCCTCGAAGAAAATTGACGGAATATGGTATATAAAAACACTTCCGATCAGTCACAAGCAGTACAAGAGTGACGTTGAGCTTCTTGCAGTCCTTGGGTTCGAAGAAGCCCCTCCGCTTTTTGGTTGTTTTGGCTTCAGCTTCAACTCATACCAGTTAAATTTACCCAAAAAAAGATATTCGTTCTTTCTAGTTGCGTTTTATTTAACTAATAGCTGGTAGGTACTCACTATACACTTAAGCACAAAAACAGAGTTAGCCTAATTCTAACAGCGTTTCTGAGTCAACAGGACTGATTGAACTTGACTGACTAACTAACTACTTCTTTAGTTCAAATCTCAAATGGAGAATATTAGAAAAACGTAATACATTACTTTTGATAATTTCTGATGTGAAAAGATAANTAATATATCGGGTGTTCCACGTAAAAGTCCTCAGCCTCGTCAAGGAGTGCTACGAAAAGAGATATTTTGATTTTGAAAAAATCGATGATAGAGCTCATCGATGGATTCGTCAAGGAGTGCAACTTGATTTTTTTCAGAACAAATTGCAACAAGGTTTATCCGATACTTTGTTCAATTCTAAACAATTTTTGTCAAATGATTATTTTTCAAAATAGTAGATACAGTCATTGAAGCTTTTCACCTCTGAATTCTTTGAAACTGAACCGATCGACTTGAAATTTGGCAGACAGTTAGAGAAAAGGTCAATGAACATTAGTGACATAGCGGCGATTGACGCTTCCCATCCTGTTGGGGGTTGACACTCCTTCTCGGGGGTGGAAATTTTTTTTTTCAAAAATAACGCTGGAAATCGATAGAGAATCAAATTTTGAGCAAAAAATATTCGATGAATTTTTTCGAGAAATAGTTTTTCACGATTGAAAATTTGGAATTTTCAGGAAAAAAAACCACTTTCAAAGTATTTTTCGCGAATAACTCAAAAACTCCGCATTTTATTTAAAAAAGTGTAATGGACAAAAATGTAGGTTATAAATAAACAAAAAAAATTGTTTTTTAAAAGTTGTTGTATGTCCTATACAAAGCGAAACATGGTTAGTGGAAGGGGATTTGTTTTGGGGGGAATACTCGAATCGATGTATTCAACGTCAAATAACTTTGTCAGCACTTTCCAGCACATTATCACTTATAAGGAAGGTCGGGTAGCACAGGACCGGCACGTCCCACTAAACTCAAGGACGAATGTCAAATACCAACTAATCGTTCTGCAAACAACAACTGTCATTCTTTCTGTCAACTTTATGGACTTGATTAACAAACTAATAATTATTTCATTAAAAATAAACATAAATCTAAAGAAGTGCATTGCACTTTATGCTATTCTGTCCACAAAATTATGTCGAGATTTCGAATTTTGGTACTTAAATCAATTTCGAGATTTCGATAATTTTTTCTCGAAAATGATTCGGTTTAGAACAAAACTTTTAATTACGTGTAACTGAAGTCTAACGATAATCTACGTTCATAGTCGTTGTCAGTATGAACGACATGCAGATGAGATCCATTTTCTGTTGTTTGTATTGTTTCCCGTACTTTACTCCCCCCACAAATTGTCGAACAACAATTCATCCGGAAGCCTTCTACACGATTAATATAATTTAGATGTAGTCACAAATCGGAGACACTGAGGTACTTATGAGGTCGACAGGTTTTCTGGCCGGTAAATATTAGTTCGACGATGTTTCTTTTTTAATTGTTTCTATTGTACACCTCGTATTTTTTTGGATAACCCTTGAATTACCTTACTTATATCACGAACACCCTATATGAAACAATGCTGCCTACCTTGCTGTCATAAATGTGCCATAAGTGGGCATCACTGACGCCACTGCCGAAAACAGAGCCGCCACTGAGAGGGCGCTGATCAACGCTCTTCTCCGCCCTAAGTGATCTCCCAGAATGCCCCAGGCCAACGATCCTCCAGCCATAGCCAGCAGAGTTATTGAAACTAAAGAAAGGTGTGGTAAAACGTGTATATGATACTTGGAATAAAATTTATTTCATCGAAAGGTCACACTTTCAAAAATTAAATATTCCTAAACAAATATGTTTTGAGAGAATCAAGTATTCGCAAAGATTTGTTGATTAAGTACTATAAAATGAAAACTAAAAAGAATTCTGTAGTAAAAATGAAGTTTTCTTGTTTAATTTAAACATTTTATGAGCTTTTCTACCCTACCTAGCCATCCTTTCCGGTGCTCCCCGATGCACAAGTGTAGTTCAGCCGCAGGCATAATATATCCCAGAATAGTCAGTTCCGAACAATCTGCTGCAAGTCCCAATCCCAGGACGACCGCGAGCAGTAGTTGTGCTTTGCCCATCGCCGCTTGCGACAAAGCGTCTTCGTGGAAGCCCACCAAAGCTTCGCCATTGTGCGAAACGCCTCCACTGCTCGACGATACTAGAAATAATAATTTAGTAAATACTTAAAATGTTTATTCGATCCGTAAGATTTTGACGGTTGTATACATTACTAGAAAAAATTAAAGAAACGAAACATTTTCGGAAATTTTGTCGTGATTTTCGAAAGGTCCGTGAAAAATGGTTTGGAAGCTTTAAGTCTCTAGTTTCAAGATATTTAGACAAATGTCTTCGGTTAAAATCGTGTCAGAAATGACTAGAACTTTCTCAAAGGTCCAATAACTTTTCCAAGAAAATTAAAAAAAATATTTAAAATGCCTAAATTTTTCTCTTAAATTTAAACTACGTCTAATACAAAACTGTAGGAAAAGTCGAGAAAAATTCTTCTTTTTCATTTTGATAATAATTACATCATGTTTAGGAGCTATAAAGTTCCTTTATTTTTTACCACAGAAAAATTTGTTTGATGTATCAATTTGTGTGTACAAGCTGTAAAAGTTTCTCTCAACATTAGTATTTTCGTCAAAATTTGCAAATTAGCGATAGACCCTTCTGCACTTTTTTCAAAATGACGTCAAGGACGAAAAATAAAAATGTTCTTCAAAAACCATGTCAGGTCCTTGTATAGAATTCATCAAGTTTTCAAAACTGCTCTTGGATGTACTGTGCAGTAATTTCTTGCAGATATATAGATGATTAAAAACAAGTGTTATTTTTCATTCATAGCCATCGATATGCAGGTAACCAATAGTCGCACGGAGATCTTTCTAAAATCAAATTGAAGCTGAATAAATAAGGTAACTCTGTATTGATTGAGTTTGAAAAAGTTTTCATGAATCCATGGACAATCCGAAAAAAATAAAATTCTGGAAATCTTTTTTCTCGAGGTATTTCTTTTGATTGCTCGATAACAGTAGCTCAAAAAAATTGTTTGTCTAAAAACGCTTCTTTGTTTGCTTCGATACGACCAATTTTCACGAAGATACAGCCTTTCGAAAATCACTAATAAATTAATGAAAATTTTATGTTCCTTTAATTTTTTCCAGTAGTATAGGTTTACCTAAATAAGTGCGAGGAATATTGTGGTGATTCTTCGTTATAAGCCTCCTCTCCAGATTTATGGGGGAGAAAAATTTAGATTTTATTTTTTTATTGTTTCTAATTATACCTACTTATTAGAAAAAGACGGTCAATGTAAAGACCAACATGTGCGCCAAAGGGTGATTTGATTGACCGTAAAATTGTTGCTATTGCTGTATTTGTTAATTAATTTCGTTCGTTTTTTTGCAACTAAGTAATTGTTCAATTACTAAACGTTAATTTTAGAAGTCAATATTGTAGATATAGGTTATAATTGATCTAAAGAAACGTATCGAAAAAGAAAAATTTCAAAAAGTTGAAATTAAGTTGTCCTTTACAACTAACAAGGTGGGACGTGCAAAACAGATGTCCCAAGGTCAGGCAAAAGCCGCTCGGGAATTCGCTCTTTTTGCATTAAATAGAGCTTATTTTTACGATAATTAAAAAAAAGAGAAATCACCTACGCCTCTCTGTTCACATGATAACTTTTTTATAATGTTAATTGTTAATTAACTATTGGACATATCGGACCGGAATTTTAGAGACAATTAAAGAAGGGGTTAAACTTTTATTTTCAGAAACTTTTACATTGATAATTCATGTAGTAAACATACTAGCAGCAGTAAAAGTTAACGTTAATGAACGATCTGCGTTCGGGAGGAGCGCAGGGCCCGCGCATGCGTGTGAGCACTGCCCTCGTCGCGCGCGAGATTTTTGAACCGAATTTGAAACGTTCGTCAAGTCAAGAAAGTGCAATAAAATGTCTAGATACTAATATTTTTTTCGAATTTTCAGGTTTGTGATCTAATTCGACTAGAGTAAAAAACCTTTTTAATTAATTAATTTAAACATCATTCTGCAATGTTTGTATTTATGTACACTTAATTCAAACATTTAAATTTTCCTCTAGGGAACATATTATGTCACTTAATGAATTAATTTTTAAATTTATCTGTTTTCCATCTATTTGGCTACGTCGCTTTGGAAAAATATAAATACATATAAAAACATATTCTTTATATAAATGTTATAACGTAATAATTCATACATTTAGTTTCTTCTTAAAAAATACTAGGCCTGCAGCAGTTGAGGACTGATTTGAAACTATCATAGATATTTGACCAATTTGTAATTCGTGACTTTAGACTCGCTAAAAGCACATGGCAAATTATATGGCTTAGTTTGAAAATAATTTAAGTTTGTCGCAGAAACAAATCTAGCATGTAGTTTCCTTGATTTCATTAAATTACCAAACTGGTAAGGGTGGTTACTTCTACCCCATGTACCCGAAGAAGCTTATGAAATTATCCGCTAAATGCCACTTCGGTAGTAATATGAACGTAATTTCTGTGATTTTATCCATATTTACAGAAAAAAGAGAAACTAAATTTCTCTCTCCCCGTTTGAATGTCCATAAATAGTGAAGGGGGAAGGAGAGACTTTCTTTACATAAAATATCCTTTTTAATTTTCAACAAAGGCTCACCTTATTTCCTTCAAACTTAATTAACACCCTGTATATTTTCAAAGGACGAATCTCAGAGTGCATTCTAGTTACTCTCCGTTAATAATCAAAAGGGCCTTTCGCCCTTTGATATTTTAACGTTAAATAAGCCAGGGACATCTAGGTCACCGCGACATTTGCCCTTAAATGTTATAGTGCAGCTTATGAACCAAACTAGCTACGCCAATTCAGGTGATTACGTGCATAGGAAAGGATTACGTCACAAGATCTACGTCTCTAATCTCTAATACAACTCTTGACGTGGGACTGGTAAAGGGAATGAGTTGCAATGTCAGCATGCACTAAAGGTCATAGGAACAACATACGTCGAGGTTCGGTTGGCCCATTCTGTGTTGGCTCCAACGGAGGTACCAAACATGCTGATTCTTCACACATCCTTACCCCCTGCGGATCTTCTCCTGTTTATTGCATCCTCGCCGGTAAGGGCCTCTTCAGTCATCTGGATACGGATACGGAAATAATTTGTTATTGGCGTACTTTTAAGATATCAGTGTTTAAATAATACAACTGAAGAAAGAGATAAAAAAGCCTACGTTTAACAGTTTAAAAAAGACCAATGACGTAAATATAGCCTGCACTACGAGGAATGCTTTTTCAAGTGACCTCCTTGTAAATGGAATTAATAGAACAAAATTGTCCAAAGTTTATCTGAAATTATATGTAAGTAGGTAGGTACCTATTTGTAGAGTGGAAGAATTTATTGGAAAGCCTTACACTGCAGACATTCGTTTTGACACTACTAGTATCTGTAAAGCTGTATAATATATAAACTAAGTTAATCGTGATAGTCCAAGAGATCGTAATTATTTAAATATTTGAAAAAAATGATAATTTACTAATTTGATAATTGTTAGGCCACAAAACATATAAACCTTAATCCTTAGCCTTCAATGATAAAACGAGAATTATGGGTACAATGACTACCTTGCCATCCAAACAAGCAAAGGACCCCGCAGGTTCCTTATGGAAAATGGCTTCCAGCCGATAGCTCTGAAAATTAGGATTTGAATAGTTATCGAAGCGTAGATAAAAAGTTATCATAGGCACTAAGCTGAGAAAATTATATTTTCCGAGATATAGTCGCCGAAAAGTAGGAGTTATAGTACCGCGAGGTATAAATTGAAGAAAACTCATTGCAAGGTCAAATGAAGAGAAGCCGTGCAATCTGTCCAAAACACATATTTCTTAGATTGTCGGGATTACTGAATCCAAATCAGCCATCCATTCGGGTATACAGATGCTATACAAGGTATACAGTATACAGCGTGTCCCACTAGTGCGGAAAAGTCCAATATCTATGTTAAAATGAGGAATATATGAATTTTTCTTTTTGCTGTGTTGCCACATTTCTCGGAATGTACAAATTAAAAATATATTCAACTATACAGGGTGTTCGACTTTTCCTGGCCAGACACCAACTTTGGTTTTTTAAGTGGAAACACACATTTTTTATATTTTTTTCGGATTCTAGTCGATATTGGTTGCTTATATTTTCTGAAACTGACAGGTTATACTAATAGCTACTAAGCCCATTTTTTTATCAGATGTTTATTAATGATGACTCTTCCGATTCATGCTTCAAAAACTGGCCTGCGTTATACAGGGTGACCAAAATATCATGTCAAAGTTGCCAATTGAAAAATTGAAAAATCTCGAATTTTTTAAATGCAACACCCTGTATATTTTCATACCATGAGATGCAGAATTAAATTCTCTACAACTACCCACTTCTATGCCAAAATTCATTAGTTTTTCATGAAATCTCATTTTTATGAAAAAATGCGAAGTTTACAAATAGCTTGTATATAAAATAACGTAGTAGGCTCATGTCAAAAGATATTCTCGAAAATTTTCGATTCACATAAGGTTTAATAGAAAAGCGACAGTAATAATAGTGAAAGGAATTACTCTAAAGAAGAATTAGTAAATAAATAATAGAATAATTAGTAAAACTCATGGTAACTGTTTATTGACAAGTATTTACCAAACTAATAATCCAGATTTACAAAGACATCCTCATATAAAGTGTTTTGTAAAACTGAAGGGGATGTTTGAAACAATAAATGCAAATTATGAGAAGACAACAAGAACACACGCACGCAGTATCCAAAACAGTAAATTAACATCGTGCATTTCTAACAAAAGTAATAAAGACCTAGTTAAATTAGTAATTAACAGGTAGGTAACCGCTCAAAATGTCTGCCAATTTTCTCTAGACATTGACCAATTCTACGAGGAAAATTGGTAAATACTTGTCAATAAACAGTTACCATGAATTTTACTAATTATTCTATTATTTATTTCCTAATTCTTCTTTAGAGTAATTCATTTCACTATTATTACTGTCGCTTTTCTATGAAACCTTATGTGAATCGAAAATTTTCGAAAATATCCTTTGACAGGAGCCTACTACGTTATTTTATATACAAATATACAAGCTATTTGTAAACTTCGCATTTATTCATAAAAATCAGATTTCATGAAAAACTAATGAATTTTGGTATAGGAGTGGGTATAGCAAAGTTGTAGAGAATTTAATTCTGCATCTCATGGTATGAAAATATACAGGGTGTTGCATTTAAAAAATTCGAGATTTTTCAAATTTTCAATTGGCAATTTTGACATGATATTTTGGTCACCCTGTATAACGCAGGCTAGTTTTTGGAGCAAGATTCGGAAGAGTCATCCTTAATAAACATCTGATAAAAAAATGGGCTTAGTAGCTATTAGTATAACCTGTCAGTACCAGAAAATGTAAGCAACCAATATCGACTTGAATCCGAAAAAAATATAAAAAATGTGCGTTTCCACTTAAAAAACCAAAGTTGGTGTCTGGCCAGGAAAAGTGGAACACCCTGTATAGTTGAATATATTTTTAATTTGTACATTCCGAGAAATGTGGCAACACAGTAAAAAGAAAAATTCATATATTCCTCATTTTAACATAGATATTGGACTTTTCCGCAATAGTGGGACACGCTGTATACTGTATACCCTGTATAGCATCTGTATACCCGAATGGATGGCTGATTTGGATTCAGTAACCCCGACAATCTAAGAAATATGTGTTTTGGACAGATTGCACGGCTTCTCTTCATTTGACTTNGGTATAGCAAAGTTGTAGAGAATTTAATTCTGCATCTCATGGTATGAAAATATACAGGGTGTTGCATTTAAAAAATTCGAGATTTTTCAAATTTTCAATTGGCAATTTTGACATGATATTTTGGTCACCCTGTATAACGCAGGCTAGTTTTTGGAGCAAGATTCGGAAGAGTCATCCTTAATAAACATCTGATAAAAAAATGGGCTTAGTAGCTATTCGTATAACCTGTCAGTATCAGAAAATGTAAGCAACCAATATCGACTAGAATACGAAAAAAATATAAAAAATATAAAAAAATTTCCACTTAAAAAACTAAAGTTGGTGTCTGACCAGGAAAAGTGGAACACCCTGTATAGTTGAATATATTTTTAATTTGTACATTCCGAGAAATGTGGCAACACAGCAAAAAGAAAAATTCATATATTCCTCATTTTAACATAGATATTGGACTTTCCCGCACTAGTGGGACACGCTGTATACTGTATACCCTATATAGCATCTGTATACCCGAATGGATGGCTGATTTGGATTCAGTAACCCCGACAATCTAAGAAATATGTGTTTTGGACAGATTGCACGCCTTCTCTTCATTTGACCTTACAATGAGTTTTCTTCAATTTATACCTTGCGGTACTAACTCCTACTTTTCGGCGACTATATCTCGGAAAATATAATTTTCTCAGCTTAGTGCCTATGATAACTTTTTATATACGCTTCGATAACTATTCAAATCCTAATTTTCAGAGCTATCGGCTGGAAGCCATTTTCCATAAGGAACCTGCGGGGTCCTTTGACGTTTGACTTTGAACTCTTCCTTGGTAACATCATGCGTAGACTGAACATAACGAACTGTATTTTAATTATTAACTGTTGTATTGTTGTATTTCACGAAGTCTTATGAAGATCTGACATAAAACAATTAAGTCTTAACCAGCATTATAAGATTTTATTGTTAGAATTTAATCAAATTGATTTGCCGAGACTAATAAAGATCTAATATGTAACTAAAATGTGTTAATTATAGGTAGGTATTCATACAATTACTTAATGATTTACTTTCACTTTCAGAAGAGTTTATTGAATACTTATATGAATGATTATGTAACGAAAATAGGTTTTATTCCGAAAGCAATAATTTTCCTATTGGGTTCAATTTTAACGGTACGTCGCCATTTTGATTTATTTTTTAGAAAAACATTTTTTAATTTCGCTATTTTCTGTGTAAAAAGAATTTTATTACATGCAAAATATAATAACTAGGTTATATAACGTTAATAATAAAAATAAAATGATAATTTTTGTAAAACCTAATTTTTATGGGTATATATGAGTAATGAAAATTTAGAGTTAGTTCACAGTAAACTATTATTTGTCTTTTGAAAATTTTGAAAGCACCATCTTTAGGCCGGTTATCTACAAATGTATTGAAAATTTTTAATATAGGTAGGTACTTAGGTAATAAATAAAACGCTTTGCTGCCAAAATAGTAAATTAAAGCATTAATTGAAATCGAGTTTTTTTATGGTCCATGGAAGCCTGAATAAAACCTTTAGTCTAAGGTTAAATGATTTCTTCATAGGTATTATCAAGGCTTTCAAAGAAATGTGGATTCTTCATAAATAGAATAAGTTCTTATACCTATCTTACAAAATTGTGGTGAGAGAAGCTCATCTGAAATACTATAAATATTTCTTACACTTTATTCATATGCCGCATTATTCTTTTGTCTCCGTCTCCCTTACTATTAGACCTACCTAGTCTTACGTTATTGTGTTACAGGGTGCTTGTTTTAAAAATTTAAGTTAAGTTCATCTAAGACTTAACGACATTCTGGGGAGAATTTAAAATCAAATAAATTTTGTAAAATATGCCCGTCATACAGGTGTGCCAAATAATATATTTTTAGATATGTGTCACTCAAAGGAAGACATAATATAATTTCTGCATAATTTTAAATTGTCAAAATCAATAAAACTAGTTTTAAAACGGTTGCTCTAACACAGGACCTACTAAAAAAATACAAAAATAAAGCTTTTCGATAAATTAATAAGCTTGTATAGAGAGAAGCAAAGTCGTAAAAAAGTTATTTGTAAACAATACCGTAAATGGGTACGTATCTCACAGTTTATCTGCATAAATACTAACTGAGCAATTATTGGCAGCGATTTAATTACGGGTAACTTTCACATTAAACTCACCTGGGGTGGCTTTGGCAAACTAATAAAGGGAATTTATCGCAAAAGCTTCAGTATGTATCACGCTACCGGACATGATATTGATTAAACCAAGAAAGAGAACGATCAATAGCGCTGACATTATTTATCTTGTTCAATTTTTTCCTCTTCTGAAGTTAATTAATGCCTTGCACGGGCATTTTAAGGGGAAAAAAAGGAAAACATATACTAGATGTGATAATATGAAATTTACAAGGTATTTCGAAAATATATTTATTTAAATAAGCTTACGCACTAGAGGGCAGCGTTCTAGATGTAAAACTGAAGGGATGGAAACTAGAGTTATTAACCTGATGAAGACTTTGGTTAGGTATAGCAAACAACTAAACAATACCTTGCTATACTATTTTCAATTCCAACCAGTTTTAGTTGTTTAATAAATTAAAGGGAATTTAATTATATGTCAATTCAAAAATATGGGCAAATAATTGCAAAGTACTTGTAATATCTTAAGTAATTTAAAACTAAGAAAGTATGTACTGCACCTATTCAAAAATGTAATACAGATTCAATACATTTAAAATATCTTTGGTCACATGCATCGAAATTTGTATTAAAATGATCCTGGAATTGACAGTTCATCTAATTGGAAAATGCCTTCTGAACTGTGTTCTTTGTTCTATGGTCACAAGTTTCAAGATTGCCAAATGTCAAATGAAAAGCCCGCCTTTTACAAGAAAATTTGATGTTTTCTTTTTCTTGTATTCATTTACTTAATTCTACATATCAAGTACGAGCAGTACCATTTACGTTTTATCAAAGTGTTTAAATTGTAAGTAATATTTTTTTATTCTTCTAAATAAATTCGAAATTTCCCATTGTTTGCATTTAAAGGTTAAAATAATCTTGTTCATTATTATCTGAGGTAAAAGTTCCTCAAGTATCTCTATTTCTAACTTGTGATGTCCATAACTTTATTTTTCAGGCATGAAAAATAAAGCAATGGTGATCAAACTTAATTTAATAGCAGCGGCTTGTGAAAACATGGGTATTGGGAAAGGTAATAATCTACCTTGGCGACTAAGGTAAGTCTGACGAATATATAAAACTAGCTAGGAACAAAATATTCAAATGCAAATGTGTTCTAGAACTGAATTGGATTATTTTACCCGTATGACTTCGGCAACTGTGGACAAAAATAAGAAAAACATCGTTATTATGGGTAGGAGGACATGGGATTCACTTCCCAACAAATTCAAGCCTCTAAGCGATAGGATTAATTGCGTCTTATCTAGATCAGATTTGGACTTGAAGAAATATCAGGACGTGCATACGTTTAAGAGCTTAGAACAGTGCCTGGAAAAAATAGGAAATTCTGAATTTCGGGACCGTTTTGAAACGGTTTGGATCATTGGCGGGACTAATGTTTATAAAGTAAGTCCTCAAAATTGAAAATTTTAAAGTGTAATAGTTTTATTTTTGTTTTTAGGAATCTATGGAATCGGAACAATTTTATAGACTTTACTTAACGAAGATTTTTAAACATTTCGACTGTGACACTTTCTTTCCAAAGATTCCAGACAATTTGATAGAAGTCAGGTAAGTCAAAATATGTAGATAGTAGAATTTATTCATTACAGAGGCATATTTGAGTCTATCTCATTACTAGGCATTATAACTAGAGTTTGATGTTTGTGTGCGAAGTCAGTTGATAGAATAGCTTGGATGAGACATTTTCAAATTTCTTTAGACGGAGTGACCCATATTAACGAGAAATTAACCATGAAAACGTCAAACTCTAGTAATTTAGTTTAAAAGTAATTAATTCTGTTTGGAAAATACTTAACTTGATGATTTAATAGCAATATATTGAGTTTAGTGACATATTTGGAAGCGAATACTTCCTTTTGCCAGTAATTACGTCAATTGCAACAATTGCGTGGGTTTTTAGGGACCCCGCAGTCCCCGAGGGAACCCAGAAGGAGAAAGATGTCGAGTTTGTTTATCACGTTTACGAAAATCCTAATTTTAAAGCATTGTGATCCACGTTTACTGTAGATCGCACTTATTTCCACTGGTGTACATCATAAAAAAGGTAACATCACTTCCAAAGAAAAATATGTAGTGTAAGGATGTTTGTTGTTGTTATTAAGGATAAAAAAATGTTGCATTTCTTGGTTGTTTTCATTAACACAATCCACAGCACCAAATTTTTTATTTACAAAATTACATTTGACAATTAAATTACAACGGAACTTTCAGTAATAGACGAAGAAAAAGTTCTCCAAATATATACAGGAAAAATACCAATCCATAAACATCACATAGCCAAAAGTACAGGGTGACCGATATATCTCAGACAATCCGTTTTTCTTCAAAACTGAAGTTAATTAAATTTTGAAAACGGCGTTTCTAGTGGCCGTGACTGCCCAGGTGGCACTCTAGTTATTATTTTTTTTAATAAATATACCAGTTTTGATTTATTTGAATAAAAACCATCGAATGTGAATGGTCACTGCTACTCAACGCCTAGGTCTTCAAAAGGCTGGACTGGCAGAGAGCAACCTGCTATTTTGCGGGTACTATGAAAGCAAAACCTGTTACACTGCTAGCCGAAACAATTTCTAAACCGATATCACCAGAAACAGCTACTCTGTGGACTAATTGAATTATTTACACAAAATCTAGTAAATAGCTAGGATTATTCAACTGAACCCACCAGACATATACTGGTTTCGGTAGGACAATCCAGTTATTTCTGGCGTCTCGGTATAATTTAATGCTGGTTGAGGTATTAGTTTGTAGAGTAATTGTTTTCTGCGATATCGTCAATGTAAAAATTCAGTGTCGTCAGTGCAAAAGAGGTGCTATTCAAAAATCGAGAAATAAGTCGAACTACTAAATTTCAACTTCCGATTTCTCAAAGACGAAAAATGATATCGGGATAAATCCAAATGCGTTTTAAAGAGTAAGTATAATATTTTAAGACCACATTTATGGTTTTAGCAAAAAAATTTAACCTATTCATGTAACACAACCTCAAATATGTCAAAAATTCGCGATTTTGGCACTTTTCAGGTTAGGGTATCTCGAAATCCAGAGCCAATTGAGAAATTTGGACCTTGGATTCGAGTTCAGCACACCAAAATCCTTCGGAAAAGTACAGTTTGCTTTCTGGGTTAGGGGGTCGGACAAATTTTGCCGTCCAGTGTTATTATCGTGTTACCTCAGTATATGGCAGTTTTTAGGTCCGAATTTTTGACACATGCACCGATTGACGTGAAATTTTAACAGTAAGTAGAAAATTGCTCAAGAAACAAAAGTTACATAGTGCCGATGTGTGCTTCCACCCTGGGGGTGAATGCTACCCCTTCTCGGGGGTGGCAATGAAGGCACTCATTTTAATCGCAAAAATCAATAGAGGGATGAATTCTAAGCAAAAAATGCTCCATAACGTTTTTTCCAAAAATTAATATTTTCCGAGTTATTTGCGATTGGAAATGTTGACTTTTCATCTAAAAAGTGCATGTTTTTCAACAATTTTTGATAAATAACTCGAAAACCTTGCGTTTTATCAAAAAAACCCATACAAAGCAAAAATAAAGCTTTTGAAATAACGAATCGATTCATTTTTTGTTGATTACCGTAGATGTAATAATAACCGAATTATCACTCTCTAAAGGTGATTGTTTATTTTTCGGGAAGTAAAATCGAACTTTTACCGTAAAACAATGGCAAAAGAACTAATTTTTCGAAGAAATTGAATATAACCTTTTTTAAAGTGCTTGGAAAGACCTTTAAAATGCCTTTTGAAAATATTTCGTAGCTCAAAAACTGGGGGAGTTATGATGAAAATAAAATGGTCATCTCACTTTTTCGGAGAAAAAATCAACAATAAAATCTATGGTTGAACCATAAAAATATAAACTAAGCGTAATCCATGTACAGTCGACTTTATTTAGGTACTATTAATAGGCTCTGCAAGTTTGACCGGTTTAGAATGTCTAAATTAAAAAAAAAGTTTGAAATGAAAAAAAAAAATTAATTTTTTAAAAAATATTCTTTTTTTTCGAAATAACTCAAAAACTAAACAAGCTACGTGAAAAATGCTAGAGTTCAAAATTAAAGGTCTTATTTTTTATAATATTTTTGCTGTTTCAATTTTTCTGTAGAGCAAAAATTAACTGAGGTATTACGTTTTTTAGTTTGCATTTGCGTGTAAGGACCACCTTCTTTGAGCCCTTAAAACCTAAAAATCTCGAAAACGAAGAATTCAAGACCCTTCCACTATAAAGGTTGATTTGTAGCTCTTGCAATTCCCTGCAAATTGCTTTTTGGAGCGATGAAAAATATTAAAAATTAAAAAAGTTATTGTGAAAAAATGAATTGTATTATTCAGTGAAAATTGTCGGATTGTGTAAATGGCTTAATTTCCGAGGCGTAATACACGCACAAACACACACACGCACATGTCCAAACAGAGGAAGTTGACAGTAATGCTTATTCTATTGGCATAACACTTAAATCTGTTTTAATTGTCAGTGTTGCGAGAAACAACCACTCCAAGGGCTATATGCCCCTACTGGCATTGAATTATACTCGCAACACCTAGTGCAACAGCTAGGGTCGTTCGTCAGTTTAACCCACCAGACACAGACAGGTTTGGGACTTATTACTCCTCATAAGTGTGTTATAGGTGAGACAACCTACGAACGAACCAGCTGTTTTGCGTCCCTATTGTCACGACAAGGAAATACCTTGCACGCGGGAGCGCAAATGGCTTCATCTGTCGTGCTGACTCCCAACTGTACCATTCAAATGGCTACAGTAGGAAGCGACCTGTTATGTTGCAGGTACTTGTTGCACGACTGCCACCCGCAGAGGGCGAAGACAATGTTTTAATTGTCAGTGTTGCGAGAAACAACTACTCCGAGAGATATATGCCCTTACCGGCATTGAATTATACTAGCATTTTCATGAAAATCAGTGCATGTATCAAGAATTCGGAGGTAATACCCTATTTTTACCGTTGTATACTGGACTATGTGTATGTGAATGGGAAGATTACGACAACTTGACAGATTGTCGACCCTACACATTTTGTAGTAACCGACTGTTTGAAGGGACAATTCCGATTCGTACCGTTAAATTTGAATTGAATGATAAAATTTTAACCAACCATTAAAATTGAATTGATATTTTGCAAATTGCAAAATTGTTTAAAAATGTAAGACATCAGTTCCCTTACAAGACGTTAAATGTGAAACACTTGTTTAAGAAATTCACTTTTTGATACATTTAACAATTTGGATTTTAAATTTGCTGAAATTAATTTTTCAATCGTTTTACGGTTACACTTATAAAGTTAAAATTTAGGTGTAGATTACTCCATAATTTAATTTTAATTCACTTTTAAAAACCATTACTATCGTTTAAACCCAAATTCATCGCGATGCATTCACAATTAGAGTTAGAATTCCTATTTTTAATAATTTTCTTGACTCATGACTTGGCAACGTCATCAAAATTCACTGGTATGCATGCAAAAACAGTCACCTTCCATGCGGGCAGTACTTCCCAAAATGTTTACTGATTTGTTGTGCATATATCTGCAGTTAACACAGCCAAAATAACGCCATTTCCAGAATTTAATTGTCGTCCGTCGTTTTCGAGAAACGCTCGTTTTCAAGGATGTATCGTTCGCCCCGTACGTAACAGCACACATTGAGCCTTAATTAAACTAAAATAACACTACAAGAAATCAATATGTACAATTTTTACAGTCTTCGAACGAATGACGAACCGAAATATCCTACTTTGTCGTTCCGGGAAGTAAAACAAACACAACAGATGATGTTAGAATCGTAAATGTAAATGAAATGCCTTGAATATTACACAATATAAATGCTCAACGTTGCGCATCGCATAATTCCCTTAAAAAATAGTATAAATAATGCTTTTAAATACAAGTAAAATACGAATCTTATCAATAAAATAGAAACCGCTCATTCAAAATTGCCTAGAAAATCTCGTCCGTTCGATTAAATAGCCCTCGTCATCGATTCCTCGCACGACTGCGGCAACTGGTGGTTCTTCACCTTGGTGCTGATCTGTCGGTCGCCGATGTTCGCGGCCTGGTTGGACCAGTCGCCCGTCGGCACCGCCGTCCTGTAGAACTTCCAGGTCGTCTTGTTGAATATGGGGAGCAGCTCGTTGGCTTCGTTCGACAGAGCCTGAAAACAAATTCCCAACTCAGTAATTACCCAAGCGACTTGTCGGAAGGTAATTTACCTTCATGTAAATCACGGCGTCGGTGCCGTGGCCTTCGCACGAGAGAAGGACCAAGTCCCCGTGGAAGTACCTGGCGTACAGTCTGGAGATGGGTAAGCCGTAGCCGTAGCCGGCTAGGGGGACGGTGTGGGCGTCCGATTTGCTCGGTTGGGGTGCCGTCGAGTACATGTATTTAAATAACTGGTCCGTCGTGGATCGTGGGATCCCACCACCCCTGTCGGACATCTGAAAAGCACGGTTATTGTTTATTGTTGTCGGTTAATGTTCTTAATAATTTTTATAATGTCACCTTGAATTATAGTGTTTTTCTAAATTAGAGGTTCTTCCTTTATTCATAAGAAAAATATAATTCAGGGGAAATATTTGAAAAAATATGATGTCAGAACTCAAAAACAGTTGATTGTAATGTTGAACGAAATCGTTAAAAAGGAACTCGAAAAATAAAAATTGACTTTTTCTAAATGGGTTGTTTTTAAAGTTTTTGACACAGAATCCAGTTTTTTAGTATTAGGCCAAGCAAATAAAATTTTTATTTGAAAAAATTCCTATCCGCGAGATTATTGTAAAATTGTCTAAAGGAACATAATACAAGACATCCCCCATCTCGCGAGTCAAAAAATTGTATTAGCTAACTTTTCTATTTAAACAAATAAGTGAGGAAAACAGTTTTTTTCACTTTGCAGGGAAAACCATTAATTTTAGCGAAAAGTGACTCACAAACAGCTTGTAGGGAATAAAATTATCCACAAAATGAGACTTGTTAAATTAAAATCGGTTAATAAACAAAAAAGTTATTGCAAAAAAAAAACAAAAGTGCCTATTTTTTAATTTGTTTATAACTATCGCATTTACTGTTAAAAATTTTATAAAACCTATGACAAGTTGAGGGTTCTACGAATTCGTAAATATGCCCATTGTTATTTTTACGTCCAGCTACCCCAGCTAAAAAAAAAGAAGTTTCTACGATAAATAGAAGCCGAGATATTGCAAAATTTTACAGCGCACATCAATTTAAACTTTGGATTTCACTTTCCTCGCGCGCGCGACTCGCTTGGACGAGCTTCCCCCAGCACCACGCTGAACATATTTTAGCAAGTACCTTCTCTTTAAAGAGCTCGTGAGTCGTTAATTTTCCACATTTTTCAATGCAATTCACGGGAAATCGTAGTTTACGTCGTAAACTTTATTTTGCGAAAAATTCAAGTCTTAATATTTATAAACAATTGCGCTACGATTTTTTAAAAAAAGATTCTTATCTTGGCTCCTGTTGGTCGTAGAGGGCACTTTTTTTATTTTAAAACTGTATTTTTTTTCCAGCTATCCATTGCACCTATTTTCGGTGAGATAGCATAAATAGCAACAATGTTATTCAAATTGTTTATAAGCGAAAAACGCACGGTTTTTTAATGCACAATTTGAGAATGTTAATGTCAAAAAAACGGTGATATTTTTTAATAGGTCGCTTAATTGCGTCTTTAAGATTACAATGACGCTTTCAGAATCATGTTTGATTGAAAATTAACGTCTGTACAGAGGCTTAAAGTTCATAACTTTTGGAGCCTCCGCTATAAACAAATAGAATTGTGCGAAAACTATTGCACCTACAGCGCCCACTTTTGGCACACTTTTAAAGTATGACAAAACCCTCAACTTGTCATAGGTTTTATAAAATTTTAACAATAAATGCGATAGTTATAAACAAATTAAAAAATGGGCACTTTTCTTGTTTTTTTGCAATAACTTTTTTGTTTATTAACCGATTTTAATTTAACAAGTCTCATTTTGTAGATAATTTTATTCCCTACAAGCTGTCTGTGAGTCACTTTTCGCTAAAATCAATGGTTTTCCCTGCAAAGTGAAAAATCTGTTTTCCTCATTTGTTTAAATAGAAGAGTTAGCTAATAAAATTTATTGACTCACGAGATGAGAGATGTCTTGTATTATGTTCCTTTAAACAATTTTACAATAATATCGTGGATAGGAATTTTTTCGAGTTTCTCTTTTTTTTCTCTAATTTTCCTGGTCTATGTCTAAAACCTATATTTATGTTATATTAAAATACTTGTTTTTTTTTAGAGCATCCTAAATATTTTTTGATTTTTGAGTTTCTTTTTAAAAAACACGTATTTTTTTTTAAATATAAAGGACACTGATTTCATTTGACAAGATTAAAAAAAAAATTTGATTTGTTTGAATTAGTTTTAGTATCTTTAAAATTTTGGAAGTTTAACAGCAAACATTATTTTTTTGTAACTCGTCTGTTTGTAATTAAGTGTGCTATGGATGTACCCGATGCACCGTTAACAGGAGTGCATGGCACACCATTGTAAAACAATTGAAGGAAACCAAAATTATGTCTACAGGGTGATTTACAACTTGTCCGAAAAAAATTGGGAATAGATGCGAATAGTTTCCGAGAAAAAAATGATTGAAGTTGTAATATTTACAACCCTTACATCACTGGACTACTAACTGCAGTCTCTAGTGCTATTCGCGTTGTGCGCTGTACGCAATGCGCTCTCTCTCCTCCTTCAGGTTATTCCGAATACTGAAATGGTAGTATTTACGGTTTTGCGATAGTGTTTACATTAGTTTTTCAAGTGTCAAAAATGGCTTACGTGTATAACAACTCGGAGTTGACGGATATCGTTTTAATTTAAGGTGAAGGCAAGACAACATATTTGTGTTAGTTCATAGAACTGGGTAAGAGGGGCAAAATATGTTTACGTATCTGTGGACAAAATTTTGAACAGCTGTTGTAACATCAGGTATGTCAAATTATTTTATTAACTAAAACCACAAATTCATTTTATTAATTAATAATAACAATGGTGACAAAAGCAGTTGAATTTGCTAGTATAAAATAGGAGTTATAAAATTTTATTTAATTATTTCTTTGGGAAAGAAATTCTTTCAATTTTTGCTTTGCACAAGGTCAGAGTTTACAGTGGACCAGTTTCTAGTGTGGTACTATAAATCAATTTCAAACTGTTCTTTTCGATTTTTTTTAAAAAAATGGAATTGGAAAGGGCACCCTTAAAATCAAAATTTTTTTTTTCACATAAGTTCTGAATCACCCTGTATATCTCATGTCTTGAAAATTTTTTTAAAAAGTATCACGTGCGATCATTTGAAAGGAAATTTACCAAAATTTCAAAAATAAAAAAATATTGTAAACAATATAATTAGATTTTATGCAAAAAAAATTGAATGAGTATTAAAAAACCTTTTCACAAAAATACAAAATTTTTAGAAAAATTGAATTGCCGAAAATGACTAAAAGTGCAAAATTTACTAATGTACAATGTAGATTTTGCGAAATCTACACTAATTATTACATGGTACAACTGAAAGCAAAACAAAAACATTACATTTATTTTAAAATTGGATTCAAATTTTTTGTTAATGAATGCTCATACAGATGACAAAGTCAAAGTAACGGGATACCAACACAATGTTTTTAAAAGATAAGAAAATGAGGAAGAGGAAAAGAAACACCAGACACCAATTACAAACTTGCACTGCACTTCCACTAGGAATATTTGACCTGCTTGTGTTGTCCTCGGGCTAGGCTCTATGGAAGCAAATTCGCTACCAGGACTAAACCCACCTTGATATTCATTTCGGTTCTTACTGTTGGTTTTAAGTGTGGTCCTCAGAGACGTTCCACAGTGGCTTCTGCAGCAGTCACATCCAATTGCGAAATGCTTGGAAGCATTGGATGCGACCATTTACAGTGGCCACTGAGAAATGTTTCTGTCTCGGTAGTGGCCTTAGAGTTAACAAAAGAGCGGGCCTAGGGATTCTAATAGCATATCTGCCCCTACATAGCCTAGCCCGAGAGCAACAAGGGCAGGTCAAAGATTCCTCTAGTTCAGGCTAAGGTAGTATAAGGCGGAAAACAGGTACATAAGCAATGGCAGCAAGGGCCTTAAAAACAATTTTTAAATAGTTTCCGTTCACCTAAAAATTTAAAAAAATATTGCAAACTCAGGTTAAATATGTAGGGCACGCCCATTAAGGATAATATAATACTCGCAGTGTAAAAGTGAACGGTGACGTTACCTTAAGGCAGACATCTTCCTTTCCCTTAGCTACGGTGACGGTTATTGGCGGGTACTGGTCTAACGAACAGTGGTATTCCATTACGGCCCTCATGGAATTCTTGAATAATTCGAACAGCATGTGGTATAAGTGAGACGGCACGTAGACTATGTTGATGTTTTTCTCTTCCTCCAATTCTAAACAAAAGTTGTCTGCATAGGTACCTAGATTTCTGATATCGAAGAACACTGTTTGACTTCTTTTGATAAGACTTTTTAAAAATATTTCTAAAAAAAACATCTAAACAGAGCAAAAAATTTGAGAGCTAACAGAATGTTTAAAAACGAAGAAAGTTGGTATCTTAATGGAAAGATTAGTAAAAATATTTTATACTTTGCTCTTTTTCGTTTTATTAAATAAAAAAATACTGCATTATCCTGTTTTACAATAAAATTGCAACAAACCGACTATCCCTCGTTACAAAAATATTACGATGACCCCGAACTTTTGTTTTTGAACTTGACGTAAACATCAGTTGAACTCAGGTCTACTGTTTTCTATTTGAACTAGATATTGTGAAGTGTACACACAGACGCCAAGCGCCAAGCAATTAGTAAATAATATTTGTGTAACTGATTCATTGTCGTTTGCACAACAAAGTACTTTGCACTTTAGTTGCGCAATATTTTCCTAAGTCCTTCGGTAAATACAAAAATAAGAATATGAGTTCATATCTTATTTTCTACGTGTTATTTACAAGTTGTGACAATGAGAAAATATCATTTTTATTAACCACGTACTTCACAAAATATCTTTTCTCATATCTGAAGTATGTTTATTTTTTGTCTGAAAAATAAATTTGTTTTCCTCGTTTCAAGGTAAAAAAAAATTAAACGAAAAACTATAACCCGATCACCTGGAAAACTCATTAAATAAAATTATTTTTTAAAATTTAAAACAATTGATATTAAATAAGAATTTTGTTCATTCACCATAAATTTGCTGATCATAAAATTGCCTCACAATTATTGTTATTTACTCTACATCCTTTTAAAATATAAACGACTAAATACTTTACTTACGATTATGTTGCGAAACGTCTATAATTAAATCCGGTGACGCCAAATAGTACTGGTCGCACAGGAACCTGGCGTTTTCGTAAGCGTCCTTAATGACACTTACTATATTACACTGCGTGTCTATGCAGCCGATGTATTTACTCCTATTTGGTCCTGGAGCATTTTCAAGCTGTCCTCCGAATAGCAGCGCTGTAAACATAAGTACTTTTGTACAATTAGTATTAAGGGTACACACAAGACTTTGTTGGTAAGTTAATGGGGAATATTACAAACGAGCGGTTGCATGCAATTCTGATTCTGAAAACCTACCTGCATAATATAAAGCGTTGTTTTGAAATGGGTAGCATAAATTGTAGAACATAAAAAAATAAAGTAATTTTTTCTTAGGGACCATGTGTCAGAGTCAAATTTTACTCCATTTTATCTTTATCTTTTCCAAAAAAAAAAAAACAATGTAATTTTGTACAAGTAAATTTTTGAAGTCGAATATGTCAGTGCTATTAGTTTCTTGACTTCCTGCTAGGGGTCGCTAGCTACAGCATTGCCCAATGACATAATTGAGGTTAGGTTTTTACAGTGTATGTTGTATATTAATATCGCAATTGTTGGATGGAAAAAACCAATGTAGATCAACTGGCCGTATTACAACTTTGCTTTCTTAAAAAGTTATGTTCGCGAGTATTAAAATAGAAATGAAAAGTTTTTGTGAAAGCCGATAATTACAAATTGCGTAACAAAATACAAGTCAAATCGAACAATGAACATACAAAATATTCATAAACAAATGTAACAACCTAGAACGCAAAAAAACTTACACAGAGAACAAAGACATTCAGTTAGTAAAAATAATTTTAATGGTTTAAAAAAGATAAAAATAAATTCTATATAGGGTGTGGCGAATATAATCTATAAAAATTAAACTACAGCTTCCTGATGATATTTGTAATAGAAAAGTCTTACATGAAAAAGTTCTATCTTCGCGTTTTTTTTTGTAAATTAAAGTTCATTTATTCAACGAAAATGAACTGGAAATGTTTTTATACGACCCGAGATGCAACCTTATAATTTATGTCGGTATAATCTAATACTAGTAATACTAAAAGAAGGTGAGGTTATATTGTCATAGCGTGCCGATTACATTAAAAAGGAAATTCTTATTTCTTACTTTGCTTAATTTTTTAGTTTGTGCACAAACTAGTTTTACAATGAACCAAGAAAACAATACATTTACTATTTCTGAACGTATCGATATGGTGTTAGTGTATGGTGCAGCCGGAGAAAATGCGCTTGCGGCGACTAAATTGTACCGGGAACGATGGCCACAACGTCACCCCCCATGTGCAAATACAATCCTACAGTGCCTTCAGCGGTTGCGAAATACGGGAAGTGTTATTCTTCGAGGAGAAGGACGTGGTCAGCAAGTGAACCTTAATGTTGAAGATACAGTGTTGGAAAATCTTGACGAAGACCCCACAATTAGTACTCGACGACTCGCACAGCTAGTAGGAACCTCATCTCGTACCGTACATCACATCTTAAGGCGCTAGCTGTTGCACCCCTATCATCTGCAACCAGTTCAACAGATTTTACACCCCCGATTGAGATCAACGAAGGCGTTTTGCAGATGGTCTTTACGGCAATGTGCCAATCAAGTAGATTTTCCTGCTTATGTTTGTGTAACAGATGAGCGACATTTATCCGTGAATTTCCATAATATGCACATATGGGCTGATGAGAATCCTCACATGATTAGGGAAACTCATTTTCAACATCAGTTCTCGGTAAATGTTTGGGCTGGCATAATAGGCGATGTACTTGTGGGTCCCTATTTCTTTGAAGGACGACTAAATAGACCAACATATGCTGACTTTTTGGAGAACCGGTTGCCTGAATTATTGGATGGAGGATTGGATGCTTTGGTCCTGTGCTGTGGCCACCTCGGTCACCCGATCTAACTCCAATGGACTTTTATCTTTGGAGTCACTTAAAGTCATTGGTTTACAATACTCCAATTGCTACAGTGGAAGAATTACGAAACCGTATACTTGAAGTTGCCGACACAATTAGGGGAATACCTGGAATTTGGGAAAATATTCGCCGAAATTGGGTGTGTCGGTGCCATGCCTGTATCCGCGCTAATGGGAATCAATTTCAACATTTTCTCTCTAGAAATGATGTTTTATTTCATTTTGTTCCTTATTTTAATGGAGTTTGTTTAGTGCACGCAGTTGGGAACTTTTTCGTATAAGACTTTTCTATTACAAATTTCGTTTGGAAGCTGTAGTTTAATTTTTATAGATTATACATGCCACACCCTGTATTGTTGCTATATTCTTGGAACTGTTCCCAAAGTTTTGATATTTTCAAAAAAATGTCTCGATTGAAGTTATAATTTCATTTTAGAACCATTTAATTAACCAAACTTTTGCAACTAATTAAACATATTTAGGTGCAATATTCAAAATTATTTTAAGAAATAGACCATACTACTTTTATTTCTGAAAAATGTGAAAAGATTTTTTTTGTCGTCAGATTTTACATTTTAAATTTCAATGCACTATGTTGTTTTTTTGGAAACGATATGGTTAAAATTTGACTTTAAAAAATTATCTTTGATGGCTATATACAAAAATAAAAGACAAAAAGCCTATGATCAGTAGGAAATACTCGCATTTTTCAAGTAATGGTAACATCATAAATTAGATTATAAACTGAATAGATGATAATTGGATATGAATAAATAAATAACAATGGAAATATATATCTACATTAAGATGGTAATATATGTCGCTGATTTTTTCGTAATTAATAAAACAAAACACATTAAATACACGAGCTATTGTTCTAATATTTACTGCATATACGATTGAATACACTACGAAGCATTAAAAACTCAAACTACTTACTGTGCTGATTGATTAACATCCTTATCGATATCCTCGACATGTAAAACCGGTCCAGGAAATACTGAATGCTGTGCTCCGTGTGGTGGTCCACATCGTGAGATTCCTTCAGTTCCAAAACACCCTGGGCCATGGTCTCCACCACGTTGGTGTGCCTGTTCCTGATCTTCACCAGCTCGTTACAGAAATGTTCGAGGGTGGCGTCGTTGGGTTCCTTCTTCTCGAATTCTATGATCTCCTGGAAGCTCCTCATGTACCAGTCGTTGACCGCCACGACGGAGGGCATCCGCAGTAGGTTTTCCGGTAACAGGGCGATCTCCTTCATTATGTTCGCCAGCCTCACCGGCAGCTCCTTCCGGAGGAAGATGAAGGACTTCTTTTCCGATGCATTTAAACCTAAAAAAAAAAAACACTGGTTGAAATTTCCAAATATATAGGGTGTTTCAGTTTCTAATACGTATACATAATTTCAAAACATATGATATCAAAAAGCTCTAAAATCAAGGCTCTAAAATCAATTGTTTCTTGCTAGAGTTCAGTGTACCGTTAATTTTTTTCATGTATACAACAAACATATATCTGATGCACTAAATTGTAGCATTCATAATAAAAAAGTTGTAGGGCATCACAGAAAAGGACCAAAACTGAAAAACGCACTATATCAGTTAAACAAAACATGTCGAGATGAGACTTCCCCCATTGAACTTTTGTCGAAAATCAAAGTCATGACATCTAAACTACTTTTTTTTGCAAATGTATTAAACTAATTCACACAAAATTCTAAAAAAGTTTTAAGAAATCATATCAAGTCAAACAACGTTCTTCGATACTAGAAATCTAGATTTACATATAAAGGATATCCAACCTCAGATAAAATTCTTAATTGTAAAACTATAAACTTACGTAGAATGCAATAATACATAAGGTGTCCCATATGTTAACTGTGTTAGCCTTTGCTAGGTTGCCAAATTTATTGAATCAGTATTTTCCAAGATATGGATAGTGGTGACTTCTGGTGTGACACCCTGTATTAGTATAAATCTGCCTAAAAGTTGACGCTATGAGTGGGAAAATTTTGTGTACAATTTTATTTCAAAAAATGTTAATTTCTGTTTATTTGTATACTACATAAGTGCAATTTTTAATTTTGAAGTAAATGACACATTTTTAAAAAAATTTGGGATTTATTGGCCAAATTCTAATAGCTTTCATTTAATATGAGTAAATTTAAGTTTTTATATGAAAATAAAGTCATTATACGAGAAATCAAATGTCAGTTTTTGATTTTTTTTCAATGATTCAGCCACACAAAAAAAAATCTGTACTTTTCATGCGACATATGTTATCCATAGTATTTTTGACCCCTGATTACGAATCCGGTGTCAGAATTGAGCTATCACATCACAGGAATTTCCTAACCTCAAAAAACAGGTTAAAAATACCAAAAATTGACGAAAAAGTGCTAGGAAAGGTAGAATTTTTGTTTTTTTCTATATTCAACTGTTCATTTATATGGTTAAGACTCCGCCGAACGTGAATCCACGGTCGGAATTGATGGTTATTTTTCTAACCTAAAAAAACGGGTCAATTAAGGTCAGATATCACGAATTTTAAAAAAATAACAGATTTGCGCCAAATTTGGTATACGGGGGATTTTGGGGTCGCTGATCACGATTCCGAGATCAGATTTACAAAATTCATTTTTAAAAATTAAATCAGTTACCTATGTACTTTAAGAAGGTTAAAACATGATTGGGTACTCAGGTTATAAAGTAAACAATAGTATTACAAAATTAAGTTTGAAATTCTGACCTCGAATTCGTAGTCAGCGACCCCGAAAACCTCCGTATGCCAAATTTGACGCGAATGTGTTATTTTTTTAAAATTAGGTCGGCCACCTTGGATCCGCCATCTTGAATTTAGTAAAGTTGACCTCGGATCCGTGATCAGCTACCCCGAAAACCCCCGTATACCAAATTTAGCGCGAATCGGTTATTTTTTGAAAAATTGGTCGGCCATCTTGGATCCGCCATCTTGAATTTTGCAAAATTGACCTCAGATTCGTGATCAGCGATCCCGAAAACCCCCGTATACCAAATTTGGCGTGAATGTTATTTTTTGAAAATTCGTGATATTGACCTGTTTTTTTGAGGTTAGAAAAAGAACCATGAACTTTGACAGAGGATTCACGTTCGGCAGAGTCTTAACCATATAAAAGGACATTTGAATATAGAAAAAAAATTTGTTGAATTTTTCCCAGCACTTTTTCGTGAATGTTTGCTATTTTTTACCTGCTTTTTGAGGTTAGGAAATTCCTGTGATGTGATAGCTCAATTCTGACACCGGATTCGTGATCAGGAGGCAAAAATACTACGGATAACATATGTCGCATGAAAAGTACAGACAACTTTTTTTTGTGTGGCTTAATGGTTTTTAGTATCCTAAAAACATGGAAGCTACTATGCTATGAATGCAGCAATATTTAATAATTTGCTGTATAATAATTCAATTTGATTTTCATCTTTTAAAATATACTATTTTTAAAATTCCAGGTACTTTTTATAAGCTCTCGTAATTAAAAAAAAAAATGCTTTTTTTCATCTTTTAGAACTATTCAAATCTAAGATATTGCCCACCATTTCGCATACTATGTATAAATGCCATACAATAACAAAAGTAACATGTTTTTATTGATTCTTTTTTATATTTATGTATTTTCCAGTAATTTCGCAGAGTAGTATTTTAAATTTCTTGTTTTCACTAGACAACCGGTGTATTTTGTAAGCTTTGAATATATTGTTCATTTTTAGATTTTTTATGGCAGTTCTTTCAAACAAATTACATATTTTCGTTAATGAATGGGCGATAAACTATAAAAAAAAAGAGGAAAATAAAGGAGTCGAGATAACATGAAGCGTAAAAATATAAAAAAATGTAATCAAGGTGTATATTTAATATTGCTTGTGCTAAAATCCGGCATACATCAATTAGTCTAATATAAAATGAGCAGTTGTGAAAGCGACTTATCTATTTTTCATGGGGCAATTAAAAATTATGAAAAAACCCTTTACATCTCATAGAAACCCCATGAATACAATTTACGTCGATACCAATCCTATTTGTACATAGGCTTTTTCAATTTCTCTTTTAATATAGTAACGTGTACGTCAATATATGTATTTATAGCAGAGGTCAAATAAATATACGACAAAATGTGGAAAAACTAATCAACCTAAACACGCGATAATTTCCTATTAACGTCGAAATTATTGTAACTGTTCATTGTAATAACTTTATTTCAAGTTCAACTCGATAAAAAAACGACCGACTAACATAAAAACAAATAACAACAATAATATAGGTACCCCTTGTCTGGAAAAAAATTCATATAGAATATATTTGTTATGTGAAATTCATTCTTATACACTCTGTATAGTTATGACGTAAATCGTAACTGTTTTTCATGTGTTGATCCGCTACAAACGAAATAATTGTCAAGCGGAATTAACTTACAACCTGGCAGATGCCTTGGCAAACAATAATAAAACGGGGTCCGGGCGACAACGGACTTTGAACGGTGACGCTTCGAGAATTAAGTCATATTTCTAGGAACTCCGTCAATAACAAGTATAAAGTGTTTGTTTGATACAAAACAAAACAGGCCTGGCGTGCAGGAACCTCTGGCGCGTAAACAATTAGCTGAAAATTATAATATCACGTAAATGATTATTTGGAATTATAAATTTTAATAAACACTCGTGAACACGTGTCGTCGTAGTTGATCGCAGTTTATCACGTAAATAATACGTATATTTAATTTGTTACGACCACAAATACCTGGATTAATTAGTTTTTCCTCGATCGGAACAGACACTACGGAGGCATTACTCAGTAACAATAGCCGAGCTTAATTTCTCTTGAGATCTGTCAATCTCATCTAATTGACCAATTAGGGTTTTGAATAAGCATAGATCTCGGGTAAATAAACGACTGCTAATAAGTTCGTGGAGAAATGTTTCACGTTTCAGGTCAAGTAGGCAGGTCAGCCATCTGCTTTGTTTAAATGTCAAATAATTATTATCGATTTTTTTTCCATGGCCAACCCTTTAAGAGTAACAAAACAGTAGGTGTGTGGCTATTTAATTTATAACTATTAAATTTAGAACTTGTACTTATTTACACTAAGTATTTAACTCTATAAATATGCGGTGAAAAAATCAGGTCGAATATTAGTCGCGATACATAATTTTTAATTCGTAAAATATCCGAAAGTGTCCAGTCCGTTAACAAAGCACCATTCGACTGCCTAACTAAAAATGGTGCATAAAATACGTGAAAAGCAAAATTTTGTTTGAAAATTGGGACTGAATAAATCAAATATAATTATTTTTCTTGACTTAATTTGCAATGATTTAATTTTCTTTTGCTTATTTGGGCCATCTGATAATAATTTTTATATTTCAACGCGTTCATTTATCGTTTGAAGGAAAATAGTATCTGAAAAGATCTAATATAATACAGGGTGAGTCAGTTTTTTGTAGCAGGATTTTAACAGTTTATAGAGAATCATTTTTTAATAAGAAAAGTTCCTATAAACGTAGGTCTTAGAACGCTTCGTTTGTGAGATATTGGGTGTTGAAAACAAACTTTTTTTAAGAATTTTTCTTAATATCTCTAAAAGACCACCATATATTGAACTGAAATTTGGTATTAATAACACATTAGTTATGGTGAATAAAACAAAGATATCTGTTATCCATTTCACCCACCAGTGACGTGCCTGAGATGGGTTACTGCCCCCTTTAAAATAACATCATTTCTAAATTTTTTAATCAATTTTGAACAAAACAGCTCTATTTAATTTTTTTATAAAATGAACGGTTTTTGGTTAAATTCATTTGGCATGAAACTGTTCCAACGATATTGGTAATACATTTGTAATAAGAAAAATATGATGTACCCTGAAAATTATCAAAAACGATTAAATGTCATGACATTGACATAAGAACGCGAACATTGTGTAACGTGTGTGTCAAGTAGTTCTTTTTTTAAGTTCAGTGTTTGTTTTTTCATGTCAAAATTCTTAAAAAAGTTTGTTTTCAACACCCTTTATCTCACAAACGAAGCGTTCTAATACCTACGTTTATAGGAACTTTTCTTATTAAAAAATGAATCTCTATCAACTGTTAACAATAATACCACAAAAAACTGACTCACCCTGTATATGTTTCGTAATATACATATTTATTATAGTTGTTTTGCTGTATCATTCCACATAGTTTTGATAATGATAGCGGCGTCTTTATCTGTTAAGTCGGTCATATTGAAAGCGTAATTCATAATGTTTACGAGATATTCCACTTATTTTGTTTTATTTCATTCTAAATTTTCTTACG